GGGGCCGGCGCAAATAAATGCTGGCTGGATGGCTCCAGGGTGTGCCGCCCCAGGAAGACGGAGAGCAGCGAAGGGGTGGGGGCCAGAGGGCCCCTGCATGCAGCGGGGCCCACCTCCCTCCCACCGCCAAGGGGTGCTCAAGCTCTGCGGGGCAACTGCGGCGCCCCCGGCCATGCTGTCTGCCTGCCCATGCTGTCAGAACTTGCCCTTCTTGGGTCCAGGCGGCTTACAAAGAAGAGTGGAAGCCATCACCACCACCCCCGCAGCGTGTGTGTGTGTGTGTGTGTGTGTGTGTGAAGGGCCGTCAGGTGACTTCCAACTTATGGCGGCCCTATAAAAATATAACAGCCAACCCCAGCTCTCTCCCCCCTCCCCTTAAAAGGCGCCTGCCCATCCAGAGCCCTCGCAGCACCTCCAGCGGATCTCCAAGGAGGGGGCCCCTTCCACAGAACCAGAGCCAGGGTGGGGAAAGGCCCGGCTCGGATCCGCACCAGATGGGCCGCCCCGCCTGCTGAGAGAGGGCTGCCTGATGACTGCAGTTGGCACACACGGAGAGGGTCCTCCAGATAGGTGGGTCCTCCTGGGTCGCCCTAACCGTAGCTCCGTTCATCGTTGGCTGAGAGGGTGGGGGTCCCTGCCCATGAATCTCAGCGGCCCTCGGATGCTGAATCTCAGTGTTCCCTCTGAGAGAGCGTGAGATAGCTCACAGTTTTCTTAGCCTCTGGCTCACACATTTTTGTCTTGGCTCAGGAAGGGAGGGCTCCAAAACAAACTAATTCATGCAGTAGCCCAATTGCTGGCTCACAGCTTTAATGCCAGGAGCTTGCAAAGCAGAATTTTTGCACACAGGACTCCGCAGCTGAGAGGGAGCCTTGGGAGCGCACTCAGTTTCCCAGCCCTTGGTCAGTCGGTCTCTCCTGGGTCCTGGCAGTGCAGGATTCCCCCTCCCCCCACGGAAGTGAAGGCTTTTGGGGAGCGGAGGCCATGAAAGGACTCGGAGCAGGGGGGAGCAGGGCCAGCCGCAGGATCAGAGGGCGAGTGTGCACCTCCCCGCATGGCTCATGTCGGCATGCTGAGGAAGCAGCCGGTGCTGCCTGCCCCTCTTGCTGGCATTCCCTCGCCCTTGCTGAGCGGCTCAGTGGGCATGAAAGCTTCCTGGTTTGATCTCTCCATTATCGCTCTCACGTGGCTGCTGTGTACAGAGGCCTAGCGGGGCGGGGGGGGGGCCTTTCTTCTGCTTGGCAGTTTTCCTCTCTTGGTTTCAAGAAAAAGCCAAGGAGGACAGCCCACCACAGCCCAGCCCAGCCCCTTAGGGAGCGGAACCACTTTTTAGAAGGGTTTGGAAAGGAACAACACACACACCCCTTTTTTTTCACCCCAGGTTTTGATTTCCTCCTCCACCGTTGGCTGTCTTATTTCATAACACTAGAATATAACGACGACAATGCCTGGAATCTGGCAATAGCTTCAGGACAGGCAGCAAAAGGTCCTTCTTCACACAACACTTACTTAATGTATGGAATTCACTGCCACAAGATGTAGTTAGGTGGCTTTAAAAGGGGATTACACTGGAATTGAAATTCACTGCCTGAGGATACGGTGACAGCCACAAGCACAGACAGCTTTAAGAGGGGACTGGCCAGATTCATGGAGGACAGGGCTATCGGTGGCTACCAGCCATGGTGAATAAAGAGAACCTCCACGTTCAGAGGCAATCAACCTCTGAACACCAGAACCCAGAGGTAATATCAGGGGAAGGCCTCGGCCTCTGTGCCCTGTTGTTGGACCTCCAGAGGAACTGGCTGGCCCCTGTGTGAGACGGGAGGCTGGCCTAGACCGATCACTGGGCTGATCCAGCAGGGCTCTTCTTGTTTGCGCACTCAAATTTGAGGGGTGGAATCTACCAGCATCCATTATCCGTGATGGCTAAACTGAACCTCCATGTTCATAAGCAGTATACCTCTGCCTATCTGACAAGCCGCAGGAGGTAGGGGCTACCTTCACACCCTGCTGTGGGCTTCCCAGAGGCCTCTAGGCGGCTGGGCTAGAGGAAGGCCAGTGTTGTGGTTCTAGTCCAGTGGAGCACTTCTTCTTATTCTTACCAAAGCAAATGGAAAGGATGTGGAGATCTGAGGCTCTTCTCCCCACCATACTAAAAACAATAAAATAGTAACACAAAACAGTTTAATTAAAAGCCCGGTGAATCAAGTTTAAACTTTGTTTCTATACCCTACCTTTTTATAATGTATTTTCTTTCACATTGACATTACTTCAACATGGGTTCATGTGAAAACAACACAATCCTCTTTTAAAGCTTTTCCCACACCGCAAAGTTTCCATTAATGAGAAAAGCTGCAACTGAATTTGGCTAATGTCTCCCTCCACCTCTCATAAACTGAGCCTACCACAAATAAACATATTCATGGTGGCAGGAGGGACTCTCTGACGCAGCTTTGAAACCCGGAATCCGATGGTCACCTCCCCACGGGCGCAGCTTCCTAGGGGAAGTGGGAAAAGTCTGTTTCCAGGATAAGGTGGGTGGTGATACCCCTTTCCTCAGGGGAAGGGGACCGTGGGGCCCTAGTGAGATTGGTGACTTACTCTTTCTTACAAGTAAATGGGACCCCAGAGGTGGCAGCTAAAGTCTCAGATCTTCTGTACAGCAAGTTACCAGCATTTAAGAATTTAAAAGGTCATCAGAACAATATCTTGGAAGTCCACAGTGACTATTCTGTATGACGATTTCCCTTATTAAAATACTGCAATCTGTTAAATACAATCTGAAACCGCAACAGAGTTTGGGTGTCCCTAGGTTTTGGGATATCGCATGCGACTCAACAGGTTGCTGGTTTGGCCACCAGTGGAAGGATAAAGACCCACTACCACCATGGGCCACCACCACCTTTGATCACCTATGGCACCACGCAAGCCACTCGGAGGCATTTGGTCAGTCTTGTGTGTTTTATCAGTCTTGTAGATAAGGAAGAAGTTGGGGGTTACATAAGTGAGGTGAGAGAGGAAAGCTGCTGGCAAACGGAGAAAGGAACTGGCCACCCTACTGTTATTTCTGCAGTTACCCTTCAAAGATGGGCCTTACCGGGGGCGGGGGGGGGAGAAAAGCCAGATAAAAAGAGGTCTCTTCTCCCACAAGGGCCAGAGTCTAGGTGAAGAGGGTTCCCTCCTGCCAAGCCAAGAAGTGGTCCTTTCAGTTGGGGGTCATGTGGGAAGGGGAGTCTCTTCAGACCCCTGGAATTGTCATCTGTTATGTCAGGACTTAAGAGTTACAAACAACAATAAAAGATTCCAGAGCAGGGGAGGCTGCCTGCAAGGCTTTCTTTCTAAATAAATAAATGTTTGATAACTACAAAGCACATACCTACGTTGTATGCCGAGGGAGGAGGGAAGTACCAGCAGGCCTCCTCTCCCCTTCCACGGGTGCTGCATTACTATGGAAACACTCCTGAAAATCTCCGATTGTGTTGGCTTCTCCCCCCACCCCCTTTGCAGCCTACAGTGGAAGGCTTACTG